CCTCCTTGGGCAACCTGTTCCAGTGAATGTAAGAGATTGACATATTTGTGATTGTCTAAATTAAAAACAAATTTTTTCTTAAATTTTTTGCTTTTATTTCTTAGAGTTGTAGAGGAAGTCAGCAACACTTTAGTAGAAAAAATGATGTTGGCACAAGTATTCATCAAAATTACTGCTCCATTCGGCCCCACTTGTGGTTATGCTTGTGATGCTTTGATGAATTCTGCCTTAATTCCCCATTAGGTCTTCCATCCTTATCTGAATATTTGGAAAATGTTTTTTTATGTTTTCTTTTATTCTACCACTGCAAGCTTTCCAAACCATTCCCAGAATTGTTGTCCCATCAATTGAATTACCCGATGTATAAATGTTATCTATTAAATAATCTGGAAAGTATGGATGCAGACCGATGTTGTGGTGATCCTGATCCACAGTAAATGCTTTGGATATGCGTCACGTGGCCACGCCAGGTTGGCTAATGCTGGCCTTTCTCCCCAGTCTGTGGCCTGTACACAGTTCTGAATGGAGCAGGGCCCGGTTCCCTGCATGTGAAACCTTCCAAAGTGCTTCTGAGCCGTCCGTCAGGCGCTGCTCTGCTCCGCTTGTGAGGCTCCAGGCGTGCCGCTGCTTTGCCCTCCATCCCCTTGACATCCCCAGGGTAGCAAGAAAACTAATTTGCCCTTCAAACCAGGGGAGAAACCTGCACGCACGTCTGGAGGAGGTTGCACTGCTCCTCCAAACCTTTGTGCTGTCCTTTCCCCCCCTCCCAGCACATCTCCAGCCCCGCGCTGCCGCGTTCTGCAGTGCCAGCACCTTCCTCCTCCCCCTGCCCTTCTGCGGCCGCTGCAGGAATGGGAAAACGCTTTTCCCCTCCAAAGGCTAACCAGCCCTTTTCACATCCCTTTAAATAGGTATCAATACCTGGCTTTTACAAACAGGAGAAATTAAACTTTGTAGCATTTTGCTATTTGAATGACCTACTCAGTGGAATTACAGCGGCAAACTAATCCTTTAGGAGAGATGGCTCTATCAATCTTTGGATTTTTCTAATGTGGAAGCTACTCAATTGCATCTCAGAAATCAGGGAGGTAATTACTCATGCAGACAGCACAAAATGAAAAAAAAAAATGCAAGTTCTGCTGAGTATCCCTTTTAGAACAAGCAGTGGAACAAGGAAAACAACCTCTATAATCAGTCAAATTCTTCCACTAATTTTTCAGGTGTTGAAGGCTATAGTGAGGATACATGCTATGAAAGTTAACAAAGCAAAGTGGCTCTAACAGAGGGTTTTACCGGAGAAAAATGCCTCTTATTAGGCAAACATCCTCTTTCGGATCTAGCTCTCCGTGTTACAACTTCATTGTTGAAAATAGACGTGCTCTGAGCTGAATGTATTTGCAGATCCCTTCCGTGGTGTTGGGCTGCCCTCTTCCATGAGATATCTAACACGAGCAGTGGTAATGCTGGCTTTCAGCTAGGCATGGACCAAATTCTGCAGCCTGGCTCCAACTCAGCATTGCGACGTGAAGGTTTTTATTTCTTTCACTCCAGTGTGAGATCAGGCTAACTGCAGCCACCGGGTTGGGCTCACCTGAAATGAGCCCAACTTTGGTTAGTTTTCTTAGAACGATGTCTACTTTTCTAATTGCACCCTGCATTTCTTGCTCATTGGCAGAGGAGCTGCTGGTCCCTGACTGGAGTTGCTGGTGCTGAGATAAGTCATTTATTTTCTCATCCTATGATTATTATTATTTTTTTAAAATGCATACCCAGCCCTGTGCTAAAAACAAGCTAAAAAAAAAAATAAAAAAGAGATAAAACCATCTGAAGGTCCACCAGGTTTGGTGGTTGGAGCAAAGAAGGCATTGATTGCCACAGTTGTTTCCAAGTCCTTTGCCAGCAGATCTGCTCCACTCAACAGCAGTGCTTTTCCTGGTCTTCCTTCCTTCTGCAGGTGGCAATCATAGAACTGCTCAAAAATGCTCAGCTCTACTTTCCCTTCCCTGTAAGGTGTAGAATATGTTTTTAATGTGAGCCACGTACCCTTAAACATCAGCAAAAGATTAAGCAAATACTTCGGAGAGCATTACTGTATTAAGACAGCAGCGAATGCCACGTGCTGTTGTTGATGCCAGCGTGGGCCCGGTGACATATGCAGAGATCTTCTTAAAAGATTCATGAAGTGAGCAGTCGTACTTTTTGTTTAAATTTTGAGACTCCCGAGGAAACAAGGAGGGAGCAGGGCTGCTATCAAATGTGCTGTCAGTTAGATTAAAAATCAAAGGGATGCTTTAAATGAATGTGAGGGCCCAGAGGGTCTCTCAGTCGCTCCGTGCCAGATGCTGGAGCAGGGGTGAGGTCTGCTCAGCGCCCACCCTGAGAATTCCTTCCGCGCTCCGCTGTGTTTGGGAAGCCCAGCTTGTCTGCTCACATGTGGTTCCTAATTGGAAGTAGTGGTATTTGGGAAATACTGCCTGAGCATAAATAAAGAACGCCAAGTCCCAAAGTTCTTCTAGCTTTCTTGATTACAGTGAAGTTATGGTGACTTATGCCCATCCAAATCCAGCTGTGAATGCAAGGGGAGTCTATGCAAATTCTTGCCATTGCTTTGTGTTCACATCACTCAGCTTGTATGCAGGGAAAAACCATTCTACAAAAACAAGTGCTTTAGAAGTTGTCCTGTTGGATAAGAATTTCTGTTTGTTTACGTGTGTTTTTGTTAAAGCAAAAGCAGGAATGCTGTGCAAGGATGCTCTGTGCTGGTTGAACACTGGGTACCTGGAGCTCTGCAGGCTGCCAGCATGTGCTCACCCCGGGGATGCTTCCACCCTACACTTTCTCAGAACCTGAGCTCTGGTGTCACAGGCAGAGGGAAAACACTCCCTGAGAGCCTGTGCTGAAGCAAAGGGAGTCCCTGTTCCTGAATCATGGAGTGGTTTGGGTCAGAAGGGACCTTTAAGATCATCTCATTCCAACCCCCTGCTACAGGCAGGGGCATCTCCCTATAGCCCAGGTTTCTCACAGCCCCATCCAGCCTGGCTTTGAGTGCTTCTAGGGAGGGAGCATCTGCAACCTCACTGTGTAAGGCTGAAGACTGAAAACCTCTGGGTATGTGTTGCAGGCTGTGTAAGTCCTCGTGCACTGGGGATGTTTGTTTTTTCTGACCTGCTGCTGTTCCTCTTGACCTCTGTCAGTGTATAGCCGTGTTCGTGTCTGGGTACCCTCAGAGATAACTGGGTTTTGGTTTGTTTTCTGGGTTAGTTTTGATACCGGTGCTTGGCTCAGCCCCCTCTAGCCCATCTGCATGGGGATGCAGCAGGAACCATGGAGCTGAGCAAGCCCTGAGACCAGCTCCATCTCTGCAGGCATTCTGAAACAAAGGGACCATGCTTCTGGGCTGGGCAACAATGTTGATTTGTCCAAACCTCCCCTGCTTTCCACTGACAAGGAAATAACTCTTGGTTTCTGTCCTAAGCTGGTAGCGCTGCTGCTGTGCGTTGCTGTTAAACGTTTCCATCACCCAACTCGTGGAGTGGTTCAAGGCTTAATTATGCAGTATCTGCAAAGCACCTTAAGATCTGCAGATGAAAGGCTCCACAGAAGTGCAAAGTATTATTTTTATTGTAGGTTTCAGAGGCAGAAGTGGGTGCGTGCTTGACCTGATAACGTTAAAAGCCCGGTGGGCTTGCCAAGCTTTAATATGATCTGTTAAGGCAGAATTAGTGGGGTGTCTGGGTGTGAAGAGCCACGGCTGTGACGACAAAGGATTCGTGCTCCCTCGCTGCTACAGGCACAGCTCTTGTGCAATTACTGCTGCGATTTGTGAAAGAAGATATTTTTCACTGCTTTTTTTTACCCATCTGTAGCATCCTTGTAAACGCTCACACCGAGTGGGTGTTTGCTCACATTTGATATAAGTAAAGGGTTTTTATTTTTAAAACTTTTAAAGGCAATAATCCTTTTTTTTTTTTTCCTTCTTCCAAGCCTTGTACGATGCTTGCCAAATTTGGAAATAGTCCTTCTTCATCGTTTATAGGTCTTATATTTGTGTTTAACTGCTAGAACTCGTGTCCATGTGTTAGCAAAATAGTTGTATTGTTCCATCTAATCATTTATATATCCGATGATTTAAAAACAAGATTAAATTAAAAAAATTAGCAGAGATGATAGATGAGCTCTCAGCACGCATACATTTATACATACAGAGGCACGCTCATTTGTATGGATACAGTTCTGTGTGCGCATGTGCTCTAATGATATCTGTGTGGGATATAAATAAAAGCTCGCAATTTGTACTCGCTTCACTTGCATAAAATCACAGATCCACCTCCAAAGCCGTCGCATTAATTGCTAGAGCAAGAACAGAAAAATATAAATAAGCTTTCAAGGGTACCGTTTTTTAAAAGCTAGAAGCTACAACATAGCTTGCTGTTGACATGGGCATAACGGAAGTATTCATGAAGGTGAGAAGCTCCTCTGTTTTGGGACTGAAATCTTGCCTGCTCCTTGTGCAGTGGTGGGAGATGTGATGCCGTTGTAGTGATCCTTGGTACTTTTAAGGGATGGCACGCATTTAAAAGTGCATATTTGACACCAGAATTATTTTAGATTGTAAAATAAAGCCCGTGCGCTTAGTGTGGTGTGTTTTGCAGAAGGAGCTTTTAGGAGAAGAAGGAAAAACAAATTGCTTGCACATAATCCACTGCACGGGTCGTGTTTTTGTAAGAACATTTACAAACTGTGTGATCAGATTAAAAACGCTGGGTAGAGCTAAATTTATCTGTAAGGGTGTATTTAATTACAACCTCAATATACGTTGACGTGGTGCCCCAGAAAACAGTGCAAACTAAAATAAGTAAGGCACGTCCAGGTGAGCTTGCAGCGGGGCGTTACTGCCGTGCTGCACGGCTTGCTGCGTTGTGCTCATCTTCACACTGGGGTAAGCTTGTTCTGCATGCTGCTCACAAAGTTTATAGTGTTTATTTTCTGTTATCTTCCAGGTCTGTTGTCTTGGTCTAAAGCCATGATGGAGTCCCTTCTGCCATGGCCCCAGACGTCGGGTGATGGGCACCGTGCAGATGTGCCCCAAGGGCACCTGCAGCACCAGGTATGTTCCACCTCCTGCTTTGTGCAGCACCCAGCCTGGCCTAACAATCAACCTCCTATGGGCAGTTGATTTTTATGTGACAAATGCTGTTGATGAACATTTTCCACTTAGCTAATTGGCTCCATGGGCTCCAGCTGGCCCACCATTGGTCACACAGTGATTTAGTGATTGTGGGTTTCACTGGTTGCTATCAGTTTGTATTTACTTTCTGTGTCTTCTGCTTAAATGACACACTGCGGGACTCTTCATGCCGAATAACATCTTTCTGGTTGCTTCTCCCCTAAAGAAAAGTTTGTGTTTCTGGCTGTCTCCCTCCCCGCTCTGCCCTTTAGCCGATGTCAATCCATTTTATGTTACATTTCTGTCTATTCCGCTTCCTTTCTTTCTGTAGACCTCAATCTCTGCACAAAGACCTTAATCTCTGATGTGGAACTTTGTCAGACACTGTCTGGTAGTCTGGAGGCAGGCTGCTCAGCATGGGGAGGTGCAAGCCTGAGGGTGGCGGTGCGGCTGAGTGGGGAGCAGTGCAGCTTTGGTGCTGCAGAGGTTCCAGGCTGCAGCCCTGTGCATATGCCCACAGACACCTCTTTGCATTATTGCCCCTTAATGCAACCCCCCTGCCCCTGGATGCACTTTGTTCTGCCGTGACAGCACGGCATGTGAACAAAACTGCTCAGCTAAAATTGATTGTAGAGGAGCTCCGTTTGACCACGTGTAAAAGAGATGCTGACATCTTGCCTTAAATGTGCAACAGAATAGCAACGGCAACAAAGACTTGTTCCTTCTCCAGTGCTGCATGTGTTCTGATATTTTCAAACAGGATATCTGGTGCTAGAGTACCAGATTTAATAAAACCACAAGCCAGTTTTACATTGCACTCAATGATCCACATGGGTCCCTTCCAGCTCAGGTTATTCCATTTCTACCAGTTCCACTCTGTCTTGTGGGGCTGTTTTGTTTCACAGATGGTATTTCCCTTCCTTTCCTGTGGTTTTCCAAAGAAACACAAAGATGAAAAATCTCATAGAAAATGGAACTATCAGATGGGAGGTTTTCAAGTCTTCACTGTCATTCAGTGAAGGCATACTGGTGAATTTCATAGAATGAATCACAGAATTGCCTGGGTTGCAAAGGCCCACAGTGCTCATCCAGTCCCAACCCCCTGCTGTGTGCAAGTCGCCAACAGCAGCCCAGGCTGCCCAGAGCCACATCCAGCCTGGCCTTGAATGCCTGCAGGGATGGGGCATCCACAGCCTCCTTGGGCAACCTGTTCCAGTGCCTCACCACCCTCTGAGCAACTTTAGTTCACGTGTTGCAGTGCTGTTGAGGACAGGCTGTGTGTTATTTTCTTTGAAGCGTAAGAAAAAGTTAAATTGAGGGCAGGAAAAGTTGTGTGCATGTTGGTGTTGTTTTTTTTTTTTTTTTAATATCAGATTTAATTTGTTTAGGAAGTAAATGTTATCAAATACGTGCAGAGAAGCACTTGAAGTCTGCGGCACACTGCTAGTTTTGCCCCTGCCAAACACTTGGAAAGTCTCTTAATCTTTGTGTGCATCAGCACTATAAAACAGGTAGTGCTTATCAGTTTGTGAGGGATTTTGCAGCCTTTGCATGCCAGACGCCTTGGAAGCACCAAGAACTTTGGTGCCTGTGGTTTCTCGCTAACAATTCCCCTTTTCTGTCTCTGCGATTTTTTTTTATAAAATATTTCTTCTAAACAATAAGCAAAACAATACCACAAAAATGCAATAAACAAACCCATTTGTCAGCCTGCCCTCCATCCCAGCCTGCCTCCCTTCCCACGTGCCCGGCCAAAACAAAGGGAGAAATGAGAAGTCTCTTTCCCAGCGCGGGGCAGCACAACCAGCACCGACGTGACGCAGGGCAGCGCGGCGCATTCTCGTTACTCATCAGCTAATTGTTCCGTGCATTTCCAGCTCCCTGCTCCCACACCTCCTTGCTGGCTGCGGTGCCGCGTGCCGCTCTCTGCAGCCGAAGCCCTTCTGACGGTCGGGGAAAATGGATTCAACCCACAAAAATATGTTGCATGTTGCAAGTGGAATTTGCCCTCTGGCCTTCGGCTCCCCCTCTCCCGTGACCAACAAGTGCTGTTTTCTCCTCTCTCCCCTTGCTGGTGAAAGCTGCCTTTAGCTCGCTGCGTGCGCTTGGTTTGGAGCCAGTGCCGAGTTTCCTTCACGCCTCCGTCTGCTGTGCAGCCAGAGAAAAAGCAGCGCGTGCCATTTTCCTCTGCAATGGGCAAAGACTGCTGAGTGTCCTCTCTGTCCCACCACGACTGGGTGGGGGGGCTCACTGGATAAGCCTCATTTTCTCTCATTTCTTAGCACTTGTGGTGACGCAAAGTAAAGTAATGATGGTGGTGATCAAGTCTTGGGCATCAAAATATAAAGCAATTGACAGTGAAAATCGGGGACAGAAGGGTAGGCTGGGATGAGAGCGATAGGAGGAGAGAGAGTGGCTGTAAGTTCTACTGGCAGAGGCTCGGGTTGGGTATTAGGAAGCATTTCTTCTCCAAAGAGCAGTCAGGCAGTGGCACAGCTGCCCATGGAGTGGGGGTCACCATCCCTGGGGGTGTCCCAGAGCTGTGGGGATGTGGCACTGAGGGATGTGGGCACGGGGGGGTGGGGTTGGACTTTTCCAACCTTGGAGATTCTGTGATTCTCTGACTATAAATACGGTCGCCTCCTGTGCTTTGCTGTGCTTGCATGGTGCTGATGTGTTAGCCCATGTAGGAAGCAGTGTTTTGAGCTAAGGCTCTGCTTTGGGAGCCTCTGGCCCAATGGCAATGCTGACATTCCCCACAAAGGCTCTCCTTTCTGTCCTCCCTGGAGCAGCATCCTCCCCTCTGCATCCGTCACAGGCATTGGAGGGCTCTCTATTGGAATGGAGGCTTTGTAGCTGTGGATGCTGCAAGGAGTACACACCGTTCTTCCATAAAATCAGGCTGCGGTGCACTGAAAAACTTTTGAGTATGTGTTGGAAAGAAAAATCTCTGCAAGAATCCTCTCCTTGTGAGAAAGAAATTATTTCCATGTGGTGCTGCTTTATCAGTGCCATGCAGGCACCTAAAGCAGAAGCTCGGGAGGAAGAGCAGATAGAAATAGAAACGGGATCCAGAAAACGGGTGCTGGAGAGGAGAGCTGTGCATCTGCACTCCCAGCACTGGGGCAGGGCTGGCTGCAGGCTGTGCTTGTGGGGTGCTGGTGGGATGGGAGTGCCCCCGTCTTTTTTTTATCATCTGCACTTTTCTTCTTGAATTAGATAGCAAAAGTGTAAAATTTGGTTTCAAAGCCAGATAAAAATGCAATCTTTCATCAGGACAGCTCTTTTGTCTTTTCATTATTAGCTAGTCATCAGTCTTTTGTTGATGATTTTTTTTTCTGCTTTATTAATATAGCCAAGTTAACCCCAATTTTTGCATTATCTTTATCAGAGTGATGTTCTTCCCACTCTAAAACTAATTCTTAGTACGTTTTTAGCCGTGATTTTGGACTTGCATCATTACTAACGATGAGAAGGCGAGCAAATAGCTTCACTAATATCAAGCAGAAGAAATGAATAAGATTTTCTTTTGCTTGTCTTTGAAGCTGTTTCTACTATTGCTGGTTCATCCAGCGCGATGCTGCTCTTTGAAATACACTTGTAGAATCCATTCTTTTTTAGACAACATGTTTTCTGATTAACATATATGCATCCATACACAGAGACTGGTGATAAAGAAATGAAAATAAGCTGGATTTTGAAAAACTTTAGATCTGATCCTATTAAAAAATCATTCTTAACTACTTGTGGGAAGAGTGCATTAAAATGAAACATAAGAAAGCAGCAACAGGTGAAAAATTGAAGTATAAATTTCTGTGTTGTGATTTCACGTGCGAATATTGCTCAGCTTGTATTTAATTCCAATGGAACTGAGCCCGCTTCTCCCTTCTCTTATATTGTTTTATTAGAGAAGATGCTGGCCTGTATTAGCCACTTATTAGATAAATACAGGAAAACTGCTTGTCATTTATGGGTTGATCCGTTATCAGCGCGAACGTCGGATGGAGTAGCCTGATTTCAAAGTGACAGCTGGTGGGACCTCTTCTTGATACATGCTAATCCAGTTTTTATTATGGAAAAATTGCCTGTGCTTCCAGACGGTGAGAGGCAGTTACAAGACATAGCTGCTGAGGGTGGAACCTTATGATCTGTGCTATAACAGCCTAAAAATGAACTATTATCTGCCAGCATAATAGCATCCTGATAAGATACGAACCTCGGGTAATTTATGGCGTGAGCACGTCAAAATGTGCAGTTACTCTTAGGGTCTCTTTCACACGGTAAATAAAAAATAGCCGGTTCTGCAGAGGCTTCTATTGGGGTGATGGATGGTTGGGTGGGATTGGGCAGCGGTGCACAGGCTGTGCTGCAGGTGGAGGTGCTGGGAAGGTGTCCTGGGCTCTGGGGGCCCCCGTGGCTCTTTGGTGGTAGGCAGCACTTCAGATCATAAAGAGTGGTGGGTGGGAGCTGCCACAATGCAGGGCTGCTGCTGCTTTCCAGAACCCCAGCCCAGTCAATATGGCACTGCTTGTGGGATGGGGAGGAGCGTCTCCCATGGGGGGAGATGGGCTGTCTGTTGCGTCCTTCCCAAATTATCAGCCTCTCTAAAAATATTAATACAGCCGCTATATGACAGACCATCGTTTAATCACAAGTATAATAGATGCTCTGAACTTTGAAGAAAGACCAGCGAGGAGCGCCAGTCTCAAAATAGTGAGATAGCAGCAGGAGATGGGGTTAAATATGGCTTTGAGACGTGGTGAGCGGTTGCTTTTGGTGAGGCTGTCTTACATATTTCAAAGAGAAATCAAGTGCTCAGGCACAGAAGCAGCGTTAGATGCTCAAGAAGTAGCTAATTAAGCTCCCAAAGATGCACGGTCCCCGTTCCATATGGTCTGTGTATGAACCACACGCAGGGACCGGAGTTGGTTGTGTGCTGGGTTAGAGAGGCTTTATGAGAACAGAACGGCCTCTGCAAAGCAATTTGGCTGCTCTGCCATCCTGGTGCGGCCGACAGCCTGGCCAGAAGCGTTTTTGGGAAAAGCATGCCATCGCTCCTGTGAAATTCAGTTCTGGGCAGCGTTTGGGATTTACTTTGTTGGGAAACTGGCTATGAATTCATTTTGATGGTACTTATTAATAATCCCCATCCCTTTTGCTATGTGAGTGCGCGCCGCTCCCATCTGAGAGGTTTTGTCCTGGGCTTCAGGGTGGAAACACGTTGTGTTTTGTGAGGATGTTTCCCATACTCAGAGGCTGTGCATGTTATTTTCTGTACCATGCATATACTCCATGTACTACAGCTGTCTGTATGTACGTGGTATGACAGTGAAAGGGATAAATCCTGAGCCTGAAGAGGACCCGCTGGGGTGCTGGGTGCCGTGGATGTGAGGGGCTCAGCACAGCGCTGCATCCGCAGCTCCCAGTTCCCCAGGTTCTGAGGATTGAATGCATTTGAACACAGTTTTCTGTGATTTAATGCAGAATTATTTCAGATCCCAAACTGGTAGGGAATAGCCGGCACTTTTTTTGCTGCTGCTCCCCCTTCCCCCCCCCCCTTTTAAAGGAAAGAGCTTTATCTTAATTAAAGTTTAATTAAGGATCACGTTTGGCAGTACTTTTCACACCGATCTCCACCAGCAGATTTTCTAAGGCTTAACTTTATCGTGCAGAAAATCCTCTTTTATTACTCCCAACCTGTTGTAAAAGCTGTTGGCACGGCGCGGTGGCTGCCTCATTCGGTGGCCTTGTTTGCCGCTGGAAAATTCCCAAGTCTCCAGAGATAGCACCACTGTGGTTCAATTTAATATCTGTCCCATCACTACAAGACTCCGGCTCATTATTAATGATACTATTCATTAATTTCTTGTTGGGCTGATGTTGTTATTTATTAAAATATTAAAGAAAGCTCCTGAGACACATACATAATGAGGGACACCTCCATTTGGTGAGCCGTACCAGCGGAGGGAATGAATGCAGCGCAGATTTAGCCGTGCCGTATCCCTCCCTCATTAGTCCTGCTGCATCTCTGAGTGACACCGTAAATTCATTTTGCACACTGTCCAATCGGAGCCTAATGCAAGTGTGGGGCTCTTTTTTTTTTAATGAGCCATTCCTATGCAAAATGAATTGACTACTGTCTAACTCATCTAATCTGCCCGTATTTGGGGGAAGGACTAAATTGCCTATATTTATTTAGGAAATAAATAAAAGTCGACGTATTTTTTCCCTTTTCGGTCTCGCATTCGGAGAATTTCAACATAATAAATTCTGCGTTTTAAGAACCTGCCACCTTAGTCAACTAAATCCCAGCATGACATTTAAACATGTGATGGTTGTATTTAAAAAAAAGCCTCAACAAGCAGTTTGCGCCCGGCGCCGGTCATTTGATGTGTCTTTCCTCCCAGCCCAGGTGTAGCCCACAGAAGGCCCCGCAGCACTTGATGTATTGCTCACTCTTTTAATCAGAGAGATTTCCGACCGCGTCTGCTTTGAGCGCCAGGCCATACGGAGGGAGCCGCACTGCAAAACACATCAGGCAAACTTGGAATTAGCTGAGCCGTGACGTCACGGTCTTATTCTGATTGTTAGGACAGGGGCTGGTATTAAGGGTCTTTTCCAGGCCAAATGAAAATCTGCATGACAATCGAGGTAGCATCTGAAGGTAAAGTTTTAATTTGTTCTATACGGTTGTTTTTTCCACCCTGTGCCAATAATTACCGCGGTGAAGGAATACCTCAGTTTTAAGAGGATTAACGGGGCGTAATTGCAGCCTGGTCTGTTCCCTCCTTTATTAACGATGCTCTCCATCCGCGCTCAGGGCAGCAGCTTTGTGTGCTGCTCGAGGGCTCTGTGCCAGGACCCCACAGCCAGGTGCTGCTGGGGGCAGCGCGCGTCACGGTGCCATGCAAGGGCATGGGCTGCAGCACTGCGCCCACGAGGGGTTGTGGTGATGCAGGACGGGGTGCTGGAAGCAGGGGCTGCGAGGCAGTGAAAACTGCTGTAGAAAATAAACTGTGGGACGCTCTTCCTTTCCTGCTTGTCACGGAATATGAGGTTCCTGATGTGACCAATATATTGCTTTAGTGATATCTCTGCAAATTTAGAAACTCAGCTTGTTTAAACAAAGTCCTTTATTATATGCTCCTTGCTAATAGTCCGGGCTGCCCGCGTGAACTTACGCCTTAACTCGGTTTTCTTTCCTCAAGGCTGGCCTCCATAGGGTGCATTTACTCATTCCCATCGTGCCTACAGTGATGTGGTGGTCCCATGCTGTGCACTCCTGTTCCCCGTGGCCCTCAGTGGGGTCTGGTGGTTCACACTGTGCTCTCCAAGGCAGAGCCGTGCCCAGCAGCCAGGCTGCGCATCCCTTGCTGTGGAAGCAGGCTCGGCTCAAGCAGCGCAGGTGAGTGTTTCTTACACTAGATACCAGGGTGATGGCATGTCAGCCTGGGGTAGAAAGCCCAGCAGCCTTGTGTTTTTTCCCCACCACGTT